TGAGGCCTACACTTGTGTATTTGGAGCTCTTGGTGACCACGCTATAGCACCCTTTACAGCGCGAGCGTCCACGGACATTCTCCCAGAACCCTGTGCGGCGTGCATTGGGCGCGTTCTGTGACTGCGGTGTCCTTCGGACACAGATCTCAGTAAAGGGCCAATCACAGCAGCCCTTTACCATGTGAATAACTGTCCAATTACAGCTGATTACAGGGAAACAGACTTGCTGGTTATTGGCGGTCCTTTCCACCCGCGCTGCGTCTTTGTGAGGAAAGGGGAGCCGATAACCGGCAAGGCTGTCAGTACATTTACACTGATAATCGGTGCCATGGACCTGTCAGTAAATATTACATTCAAATAGATTTACTACAAGTATGAGATTTATTTATTTATTTATTTTTATTCTGGTTTTGGGTTTTTGTTTTGTTTTGTGTGGGGTTTTTTTTTTGGTTTATAAAACCTACTTGGGTGGATGCAGCATTTGTCACCCGCCGGCTCACATGAGTGCTGATCGCTGAGTTCTTACAGCCGCTCTGAGTGGAGCTGTGAAGGGGAAGTGAGAGGCTGAGAAGGTGCCGCTCCAGACTGGGGAGGACCCCAACTTTGAAGTCAGGATCTTTCCCCAGCCTGGACCAGCTGAGTGATGTCAGCCGACAGCGAGCTTCAGCACATAATGGGTCACAGGAGTGCAGAACGAACTTCACTCCTGCAATCCACACAAGTAGCTGAAAGCGCTTTGGCTGTCCTTTCAGTCCTCCCAAATCTGCTGACTAGGCAGAACAGCAGCAGACTGAGGTCCTCCCTCTGACTCCGCTCTCTCCCCCCTGACTCCGCTCTCCCCCCCTGACTCCGCTCTCTCCCCCCTGACTCCGCTCTCTCCCCCCTGACTCCGCTCTCTCCCCCCTGACTCCGCTCTCTCCCCCCTGACTCCGCTCTCTCCCCCCTGACTCCGCTCTCTCCCCCCTGACTCCGCTCTCTCCCCCCTGACTCCGCTCTCCCCCCTGACTCCGCTCTCGCCCCCCTGACTCCGCTCTCTCCCCCCTGACTCCGCTCTCGCCCCCCTGACTCCGCTCTCGCCCCCCTGACTCCGCTCTCGCCCCCCTGACTCCGCTCTCGCCCCCCTGACTCCGCTCTCGCCCCCCTGACTCCGCTCTCGCCCCCCTGACTCCGCTCTCGCCCCCTGACTCCGCTCTCGCCCCCCTGACTCCGCTCTCTCTCGCCCCCCTGACTCCGCTCTCGCCCCCCTGACTCCGCATACTCCTTCATCTTTTGCAGGCAGCATACCTGATTGACTTCTAGTTTCTTTCCTAATCTGATTGCTGCTGCTTGAGGAATTATTCATGGATTTATGAATGAGTTGCATTTTTTGGTCTTTTTTAGATCTCTCGAGTTCTGCTCTAAAAATGTTCTGTGTTTGTGGGGGAAGGATGTGAGGAGGTGATTGCTGATATTTGCTCAGTTTCTGCTTCCTGCTTTGCAGTGCTGAAGGTTTTTGTTTTTTCTTCCCTTCAGCATGCAAGTCTCTCAACTGAACCCCCCCCCCCCCCCCCCCGCTAGTCTGTATTGCCTTGCAGCCATGTGCAAATTCTGGCAGTTCGGGGGGGGGTGATCATTCAGATATGGTGGGTGGGGCCTTGCCGGTGGGTGGGGCCTCAGTCATACTGAGCATGTTGCATAATAGTTTACACGTGTGTGCTGTATTTGCATCTGTGTATATGGTGAGCTGAGATTTCACTATTTATTTTTTTTTGCATATATTTTTTTTTTTATACAAATATGTCTTGCCATCATAAGCCCCCTTTTGTTGTTGCGGCTTTTTGATTGAAGGGTACTCGGTCCCAGTTCACACTCATGTGAGTTCTATGCGGATTAGATCCGATCTGAAAGGCCTAGTTTCACACGTCATCTGAAAAACCATTGTTTGTTATGAAAGTCGTTCACATCTATTCGGTGCCATTCTAATCTGGTTAAAGAAGACTCCTGTGCGGGTTCAGTTTGAATTGGAGCTCCAGCTTTGCCGACTCCATTCAGAGATTGCATTAATTCGGATTAGAATGGCACTGTGAAAATGCATCAGATTCGCACCACATCCGTGTGACCCGGGACTTGAAGGCATTGCCTCTCCTGCGATCAAAAAGACCCGGCAACCCCGATCCACTAATCCAGTCCTAGTCAGGAAGTGACGTCTCTGAACCCAGAAGTGCAGAGCTGAGCACTTCCAGGTTACTACATACAGAAGAGATGGAATGGACAATCCTCCAACTATCCTCACTCACCAGCCTGATGTGGCTTCTTTTTTTTTTTTTTTTGTCCCATCTCTCACAGCCAGTGAGCCAATGAGAGGAGAGCATGGCCGAGCCGTGGTTCTGTCTTATACATAGAGCAGGGCATGGGAGTGAGCATACACCAGTGCCCCCATAGCAAGTGGCTGGGGGAGGGGGGTTACATTCCAGGGGCTTTGGAGTTGCTGGATCTCTACAAGTTGTCCATTGGCCTGTTCATTTGCTGCTATTGCCGCTGTAGTAAACGCTATAAAACCACACAATTCATTGTGGTGAGAGACCTTCTACTTGGAGTTGGCATGCTGGGAAGGGCAGCTGGAAGCTGATGTGGCAGAAAGCAGAATTTAAACGGGGGGGGGGGGGGGGGGGGGGGGGGGGGGGGGGGGGGGGGGGGGGGGGGCACTGGATAGACGGGGGGGGGGTTTGGGGGGGGGGGGGGCGGCGCTGGATAGATGGCGACCAGAATTACTGAGATTTTGGTTGGCAGATCTCCTGTCTGTGGATGTACCTGTTTGGCTTGAATCCCGTTTCTGTGTATTGGAGGCTCCTGTCATACAATGGGCTTCTCTTGGCAGTTGATGTGAATACAGATCACCGAGAGGCTTCATTCTTACCAGAAGCCCATTACTTCTAAGATGATGACGTGGAACTCTTCAACGTGGTCTGTTCTCAGGAGTGGAGACGCAGCTTGATTTCTGAGTGTAATCAGTGGGACAAAAGTCCTTACAAGTCATCTGCCTGCCATCCAGGAATCCCACTTTTACATTGGATTCTGATCCCTATTGTGAGCTCGTGTCCCCATTTACGCAGCATGTCCACTAAATTATTTCTTTGGCTGATTATTTAAAAAAATATAATATATATTGTTTTTTTTTGGGGGGGGGGGGGGGTTCTAGAGAAACATTGTCCACGTATTAAATGTGATTCAGCTGCGGTTTTTAATTTAATTAATTTTTTTGTGTACCTTACCCTGGAATAAAAAAAAAAAAAAATGCAGCTGCCGTATCATTTTTTTTTTTTCTTCCCCATTGTGTACACTAAAATGTGGACTTTGTACCTGAAAACCCGCATCAGCCCCACAATACTACGTATTTGCTGAAAGTGGAGACTAGGATGAGATGTGTTGCATATTTGCAGATCTATTAAAACTACAGCAATTCACTTTCTTTTTTTTTTTTTTTTTTTTTTTAGCATAAGCATAAAATCTTGAAATTTTCTAAAAGTCAAGTAAATGGATACCAAATACAAGAACAGTTTGTAGTTCTGATGCTACAAGGATACCTTTCTGTAGTTCATTGACTGGCCCAGCAGCTTTCAGACAATCTGCAGAGGTTTGGGAAAGCTGCAGAGCTAGTCTTCCAGAGCCTGACATTGATCCCCTGGTCCTCTGGCCCCCCTGATCGCCTGGTCCTCCGGTCCCCATGGTCCTCTGGCCCCCCTGATCCCCTGGTCCTCTGGCCCCCCTGATCCCCTTGGTCCTCTGGCCCCCCCTGATCCCCCTGGTCCTCTGGCCCCCCCTGATCCCCCTGGTGCTCTGGCCCCCCCTGGTGCTCTGGCCCCCCCTGGTGCTCTGGCCCCCCCTGGTGCTCTGGCCCCCCCTGGTGCTCTGGCCCCCCCTGGTGCTCTGGCCCCCCCTGATGCCCCGGCCCCCCCTGATGCCCCGGCCCCCCCTGATGCCCCCGGCCCCCCCTGATCCCCCTGGTGCTCTGGCCCCCCCTGGTGCTCTGGCCCCTCCTGGATCCCCCTGGTGTGCTCTGGCCCCCCCTGATCCCCCTGGTGCTCTGGCCCCCCCTGGTCCTCTGGCCCCCCCTGATCCCCCGGCCCCCCCCTGGTGCTCTGGCCCCCCTGGTCCTCTGGCCCCCCCTGATCCCCCTGGTGCTCTGGCCCCCCCCTGGTCCTCTGGCCCCCCCTGATCCCCCTGGTCCTCTGGCCCCCCCTGGTCCCCCCGGTCCTCTGGCCCCCCCTGGTCCCCCCGGTCCTCTGGCCCCCCCTGATCCCCCTGGTCCCCCCTGATCCTGTGGTCCCCCTGATCAATGCTTTGCAGTCTCTTGTGGGAAAACCTAATACACCATATATTATTTTTTTATTTTTTTTTGCAGGGAAAATAAATGCATATCATATTTTTCAAAAGGTGACCTTCTCCTTTCATCAGGCGGGCCGTCCTTCTGCACCTTTTATAATGTGAGTGTAACTGGTTGAAGCTTTTCATTATTTTGCTTTTGGCCTTTTGCAGCCTTGACTTAGCTTTTCACACATTTACTGAGTCACAGTTGAGAGATGACATACTGACCTCCTTCATGACCTTGGGTGTGATCGCAGTCACATGCCGCTGTAGGTGAAAGGAGAGTCGTGGCTCCGATGAAGGCGACTCTTCTGTATATAGCAATCATTAAACATGTTGGATTTGTCATCTCACCACCGGAGTCATCTGTGGATGGAGTTTTGTTTCGTTGGCGTTGATCGCGTTACTTTTTTTCTGCATTGCCTAGTTTACAAAACTGTTTTGTATCCTTTGGTTCCAGAGTGGAAAATGTTTGAAATACGGGAGCGAGTTCTATTCCCATCAATTCTGGGAAATACGGGAGAGGAGTCTGCAAACACTGAATGCGGGGTCGGGGAGAGCGGATATAGTGAATGCGGGGTCCGGGGAGAGCGGATATAGTGAATGCGGGGTGCGGGGGTCCCCGGGGAGAGCGGATAGAGTGAATGCGGGGTCCGGGGAGAGCGGATATAGTGAATGCGGGGTCCGGGGAGAGCGGATATAGTGAATGCGGGGTCCGGGGGAGAGCGGATATAGTGAATGCGGGGTCCGGGGAGAGCGGATATAGTGAGTGCGGGGTCCGGGGAGAGCGGATATAGTGAGTGCGGGGTCCGGGGGGAGAGCGGATATAGTGAGTGCGGGGTCCGGGGAGAGCGGATATAGTGAATGCAGGACCCGGAGAGAGCGGATGTAGTGAATGCGGGGTCCGGGGAGAGCGGACGTAGTCAATGCGGGGTCCGGGAGAGAGCGGATAGTAGTCAATGCGGGGTCCGGGGAGAGCGGACGTAGTCAATGCGGGGTCCGGGGAGAGCGGACGTAGTGAATGCGGGGTCCGGGGGGGAGAGCGGACGTAGTGAATGCGGGGTCCGGGGAGAGCGGACGTAGTGAATGCGGGGTCTGGGGAGAGAGCGGACGTAGTGAATGCGGGGTCTGGGGAGAGCGATACGTAGTGAATGCGGGGTCTGGGGAGAGCGGACGTAGTGAATGCGGGGTCTGGGGAGAGCGGACGTAGTGAATGCGGGGTCTGGGGGAGAGGGGATATAGTGAATGCGGGGTCTGGGGAGAGCGGATATAGTCAATGCGGGGTCTGGGGAGAGGGGACGTAGTCAATGCGGGGTCTGGGGAGAGCGGACGTAGTCAATGCGGGGTCTGGGGAGAGCGGACGTAGTCAATGCGGGGTCTGGGGAGAGGGGACGTAGTCAATGCGGGGTCTGGGGAGAGCGGACGTAGTCAATGCGGGTCTGGGGAGAGCGGACGTAGTCAATGCGGGGTCGGGGGAGAGCGGACGTAGTCAATGCGGGGTCGGGGGGGGAGAGCGGATATAGGGAGTGCGGGGTCGGGGGGAGAGCGGACGTAGGGAGTGCGGGGTCGGGGGGAGAGGGGACGTAGGGAGTGAGTGCGGGGTCCGGGGGAGAGCGGACGTAGGGAATGCGGGGTCTGGGGAGAGCGGACGATATAGTCAATGCGGGGTCTGGGGAGAGCGGATTTAGTGAGTGCGGGGTCCGGGGAGACGTACGTGAGGTGGGGTCCTGACATGCTGGTTGTACAGAATTTGAGCGATTGATGGACTTCCATACAACCAGGGTGCCTATACATGGAGTGAAGTTTGGCCGATCCATGCTGAACCTGTAGAATTTTGGTCCATGTATGGCTGGCTCCGCTAACCTCACAGGGAGGGCATGGTTTTCAAGGATTCAGCAAATTCTTTGACCTTGTGTTGAGATGTGGCTGTAAAGCACTTTGTTGTAGTGCTGCAATGGTTCTATTAAACCGGGTTGCTGCTTTTAGATATTTTGGGGGGATTTAGGGTTTCAAGTAGTCAAAAGATGTGCCTGCTTAGAAAAGGGGGGGCAAAGGGGGGGCACGCCAAATCATTTGAATTGGATGGCTTCTGTTTATCTACTTTGTAGGTTGATTTTTGTGTTTTTTATGCATATACTCACATCATTTTTTCACAGGCGCTTAAAACTTTTGCGCAGTATTGCATATTAAATAAAACCCCCAAAAGCTCTGAAAGGCGGGATAAGTCAGGAATCCATTGGCTGGTACCTTCAGCAGTACAAATGTTTAATACTCTGAATCCGCAGCCGGCTGTCTTTTAGGCCAAGTAACACCGTCTGTGTGGCCAACTATTCCACGTTGTACCTGGGCTGCGTTTTGCCGCATTGAATGGTCGCGTGTTGCAGTTTGGAGAGTCTGTTGCTGTTTTTGTCATGATTAGATGTGTTGGTCCATTCCACATGTAACGTGCAATAAAGGGTTAACTCCGCTTTCATGGAGAAAAATGACAAATAATCTGGCGTATACAACTGTGATACAAATCATATTGTAATTGGATGTTATTAAAAAGTGCTTTTCCTTTTCAATCTGTAATTTTCCCTAAAATGCAATATGGCCGCCTGGAGGTGTTGTGTACACAGATGGTATAAGGACCACCCCTATTTCCTGCTCTTGTGATTGGCTCACTGCATTTACCAGACGTCTGCATTAAGATACAAGTCAAATTTTTTGGGGCATCTTCTGCAACAACAATATCATTTGAGATACTCCCACAGGGAAATCCTGTCTGAGGAAAGTGCAGGGTCTGCATCCCTTTAAAGTCCTGCAGGTGCAGCAGCTGAGTCTCACATTCACTCTGCACATGGACACAGAAACAAACCGATATTTCTTCAGAGTAACAAAAGATAGGAATCTGCAACAAACTGTTGCAATGTACAGAGATCACCGAGGGGGGGGAGGGGTTTTTAGCTCGCTCCCTGTCTTGCTCGCGCTCTCAAATGTGGAGTTCTTCTTTAATATGCAACTTCACCTCACAAGTCCGGCTCTGATGTGCGCCCTGCAGTACCTCTAGAAATTTCTTCAATAATCCAAAATCGTTTATATATCTAAATCCTAACTAGGCTCCTCGATCATTGAAGTGAATTGTGCTCCCATGACTGGCCGGTGTTGTGCCGCGCTGGTCCAGGGTCCTCATTATCCCGCTTCCTGTCTGCTGGCACAGACTCCAGTGTTAGACCGGCTCATAGGAACTGCCTGTGTTGTGGGGTTTTTTCTTTTTTTTTTTATAAGATGCACCATTTAATTGAGAGCGAATTCAGCCCATTTCCCTTTCCGATGGGTAATGAACATCTGTGGTGCCCAGGCTGCACAAAGCCAGCTCAGCTGTACTCGTGTGAAGCCGTCTCTTGGAGGGAATTCAGGAGGAAGATATTCTGGCCAGCTTGGCTGCGGGAAGGTGCAGCTCCTCATACAGGTGGTCTGGATGAAAGACACATCGTCGTGTAAAAATAGAGACGCCAACAGTGAAAACCTGCATAACGCAGCAAATCCAACCCCACAAATGTGTTCAAAGGAAATAAAAATCAAACGGCTGAAGTAACGGCTGGTGGAATACGTCCTGCGGCCTTCTACAGCGAAGGAATCGGCAATCTGATGGTGGGGACACCTGTGACACCGCCGAAAGCACCGCTGTGATAGTTGGGACCACCGCCGAAAGCACCGCTGTGATAGTTGGGACCACCGCCGAAAGCACCGCTGTGATAGTTGGGACCACCGCCGAAAGCACCGCTGTGATAGCTGGGAGCCCCACCGCCGAAAGCACCGCTGTGATAGCTGGGACCACCGCCGAAAGCACCGCTGTGATAGTTGGGACCACCGCCGAAAGCACCGCTGTATACTGGGACCACCGCCGAACCACCGCTGTGATAGTTGGGACCAGGACCACTGCCTGAAAGCACCGTTGAAAGCACCGCATGTGATAGTTGGGACCACCGCCGAAAAATAGCACCAGCACCACTGTGATAGGACCACTGCCTAAAGCGGGTTGTTCCGCATCTGGAGGGGCCGCCGGGTTGTTCCGCCTGGGGTTGTTCCGCATCTGGAGGGGCCCGCCATCTGGAGTGGGGCCGGGTTGTTCCGCATCTGGAGGGGCCGCCGGGTTGTTCCGCATCTGGAGGGGCCGCCGGGTTGTTCCGCATCTGGAGGGGCCGCCGGGTTGTTCCGCATCTGGAGGGGCCGCCGGGTTGTTCCGCATCTGGAGGGGCCGCCGGGTTGTTCCGCATCTGGAGGGGCCGCCCGGGTTGTTCCGCATCTGGAGGGGCCGCCGGGTTGTTCCGCATCTGGAGGGGCCGCCGGGTTGTTCCGCATCTGGAGGGGCCGCCGGGTTGTTCCGCATCTGGAGGGGCCGCCGGGTTGTTCCGCATCTGGAGGGGCCGCCGGGTTGTTCCGCATCTGGAGGGGCCGCCGGGTTGTTCCGCATCTGGAGGGGCCGCCGGGTTGTTCCGCATCTGGAGGGGCCGCCGGGTTGTTCCGCATCTGGAGGGGCCGCCGGGTTGTTCCGCATCTGGAGGGGCGCCGGCCGGGTGCATCTGTTCCGCATCTGGAGGGGCCGCCGGGTTGTTCCGCATCTGGAGGGGCCGCCGGGTTGTTCCGCACCTGTGAGCTAGGATATGCACCGCGGGTTGACCAGGATCCACCCTCCTGACATCACCCGTGGACATGCATGATCGGGACGTGGATCCGTCTTGCAGCGCACATCCTGGCTTGCCTGGCAGTCGTGTACAGTTGCAGTACTTCCCCATTTGCTTGGCTGGGTTGCAGCATTGATGGGCTTACTACCCAATGAATGTGCACTGGAACCATTAGTTTATGCTGCGGGGATGTTCCGCAAAGCGGGTTGTTCCGCATGACCACGGGTTGACATATGAACACCCCCGTCCTTGTGAGGGGCGCCTCCACAACTGCCGGGTTGCAGTGCACATGGTGCAAGGTGCATCTGGAGTGATATTACAGTAGAAGTGCAGCCAGAGCCCATTTGGCTGTATGTCTCGTGGGGATCCCCTCTTGTTGGGATCCCGTCTCGTGGGGATCCCCTTCTTGTTGGGATCCCTCTTGTGGGGATCCCATCTTGTTGGGATCACGAAGCACCGGCTCGTGGGGACACCCTCTTGTTGGGATCCCTTCTTGTTGGGATCACATGGTGCAAGGTGAGGAGTGGGGAGTGCAGCCCCCATTTTTGGCTTGTTGGGATCCCCTCTTGTTGGGATCCCCTTCTTGTTGGGATCCCCTCTTGTGGGGATCCCCTCTTGTTGGGATCCGGCTTGTTGGGATCACGGCTCGTTGGGATCCCTTCTTGTGGGGATCACGGCTCGTGGGGATCACCCCTCTTGTTGGGATCACGGCTCGTGGGGATCACGGCTTGGGGATCCCCTCTTGTTGGGATCACGGCTCGTGGGGATCCGGCTCTTGTGGGATCACGGCTCGTGGGGATCCCTTCTTGTTGGGATCCCCTCTTGTGGGGATCACGGCTCTTGTTGGGATCCCCTCTTGTTGGGATCCCCTCTTGTTGGGATCCCCTCTTGTTGGGATCCGGCTCTTGTTGGGATCCCCTCTTGTTGGGATCCCCTCTTGTTGGGATCCCCTCTCGTTGGGATCCCGTCTCGTGTGGATCAGATTGTTCTGCACTCCTGTGACCCGTTTGCAGGTGATGGCGGGCTGACGGCTGTGTCACTGTCCCGGTCCAGGCTGGGGAAAGATCCCGACTGTAAAGTCGCTGAGAGCTGGAGTCCGCTGCTCCCTCCACAGCCCAGCACTGTT